TTGCTGGGTGAGTGCTGGAGAAATGAGTGTTTTCTTCTCGTCATCTCTCTCCTGTTTTCACTATTTCCTCTCGCTACATCACCACTGAAGTCTTAACCTGTTGCTCTTTTGCATCTTCTCGATGTGGCTTGCCTTCCCAAGTGTCTTGAATCCTGCCGAATCGCTGTTGAGCGACAGAAATGTCCAAAGAGTAGGTATGAGCTATTGAGTAGTTTGTGGTAGTTGATCTACATGTTATTTTATACTCCTACCAGCGAAGTACGGAGAGTGCATGTTCCCAAAAAATGAGTTCAAAAGCCATCAAGAAGTGCAAAGCTCTTGACTCTTGTAAGCACAGTATCCACATTTACCCTCATATCCACTGACTAACCAACACACAAACACGTACCCACCACCCTTGTAAGGGAAGAGGATATGTCAAAGCTTCCCCCAATTGAACAAGTAAACCAGGTTTGTTCAGAACCTATTCCGGATATTTAATACTTTCTTTTAATCCCGAACTTTTAAGACAGATGCTCAGTGGCAAGAACCTCTTTGATACTAGTTTCTTGTGGAATGAAACCTGTATATGCTCGGGTTCAAGTATCTACCCCACTTCACTCTTACTTTTCCATTTGCATGCAAGCAATGGTATTACCTGTTTACAAGCAACCTTAAAATGAAGAGTAATCTTTCCTTTGCCTGTGTTACAGATAGTTTATGTTAAGGTGGTTTGTAAAACTGAAAGGCACTGAAGATTGTTGAATACATTTCTGTCTCTGGGGACTGCTGGTCCTGTCAGACTTGCTTGCACTCTGCCTTAGTGACAGCTTTTAAACACTGGCCTTCCACACCATTTCTTACTGGTGATCTTGGAGCAGTTTTCGTACCATGGAAGACCATTCGAGTGCTGCAAAGAGAACAGGATATATAGTCAGACTTCAGCAATTATTAGCTGTCTTGGGACAAATCACCAAAGATCTAGTTCTTTTGGGGACTTTAGCAGACAGTTTTTGTGTGAATGAAATTATTACAGAAAGCAGCTAATGGCTGACACACCTCAGGTACAGCAGCTCTCAGTCACCATATACTAGATATGAAAACCATACCACCCCACCATAAATTTCTTAGGCAGTATAGCACTTTACAAAGACTTAGGAGTTGCTACATTGTTGTTCATCAAAACACACTGGCATTTTCTCCTCCACAAGTCTCTTCCATGCTCTCCACCATTTTATTTCAGTTCTACAACTGTAATCCTAACTTCCCTCTATTTTTAACCTCTCAGTGTGTTAACATTCTGTAACTGCCCTACTGTGAACTTCTATAACAAACAAAAAATGTTTGTATCAGTGACTTGCCACTTAACAAATACTTGGGGTATACTATCTAATTTCCAGTCTCTGGAGCTGTTTAACTAGAGGAATAAATGTCTATCAAGGTTTATGTTTCACCCCATATATCATAGGAAGGCAGCTGTAATCTGTGGATTCTCTTGTCAGACTGGATCCTGCTCAGTGCTCCCACTGCTACAGAACAGTTGAGTTGTTGATGGAAAAACAAATGAAGCAATGTGTGCTTGGTAGGAACTTGGACTTTTCTTAGGTTGACAGTAATTTGTAAAAGATTTTTGCCTGGCTAAATGAAATCATTAGTGATTTTCATGTACCATAAAACCATTAGGTACTTCGAATTCAAAATTAGTCAAAGGAACACTGTTGTAACCTTAAACTCAAGATGGAAACAGAGTCCCTGAAACGGAGATGTGATGACTGTTCTGCTAGCAGGGTGTCCTATGGAAACACAGAGGCGTAACTATTTGAAAAGGTTATGGAGGAGTCCCAGAAAAGCTGTGGAAGGCCCTGTTAAGGTGTAACACATCTTCCATGTGAAATGAGCCCTTAGGTGGACAGTGTCCACGTGTGCTTCCCAAAGGATTCGGACCTGAGTTTCTAAGTTTATGTTTCACTGTAAGACCTGATTTCTAAATTGTTTTCAGTGAATATACCTATAAGTTATAGTTCTTTGTAAGCACTGCTAAACTCAGCGTCCTTTATCCTTTAAACAGAACTTCAGCTACTCAGATTATAGAGCATAAAGTTATGTTCTAAATACCATAATTTTGACATTTCTGAGACTACTTGGGAATACTAACCTTTTATCCCTGAATCTCAAAAAGATAACGTGCCAGGAATTTGAAAACTGAAAAACTTGTTTTCAGTTTATGTAATAGTTCTAAAATGTACCACTGTTGAGAAATTTTAAATTTAAAAATGAAACAAAATTTTAAAGAGAAAGCTCTGGGCAAGTCCCAGCTTATGAGAGGGCGGCAGGAGGAGAAGCCCTCTGTGGTTCTGGACACCTGCCTCTGGGGCAGGAGTCACAGAGTTGAGACAGCGGAAGTCTCGTCTTCCCAGGAGGCTCTTGAGCTCTTTCCAAAGCTGGGAGACCAGAGCACTGGCTGCTTTGTACAGATTAGTAGACCTGAGCTGGGCCTGGATGACAGCTGGAGGGCATTCTAGTAAAGTAAAAGCATTTGAGAAGTGGGAGCACAGAGAAAGGGGAGAATTGAAAGACAGGAAGTAGTGGCATAGTCAGAAGCTCAGCATTAGAGGTGATTTCTAGATCTTCAATTGAAAGGAAATATGGAGTTTGACTTGGGCTTATTATCTATTCCTTCTGAGATGCCATTGAGTGTGGCAGTGGATTTGTCAGGTTAGAGAAATTGAGTGAGAAAGACTGCTGAGGTGGACCACAAGCCTGACCTGTGAATTCCTGGAACCCACATGGTAGAAGGAGAAAATGCTCCTGTAAATTGTGCTCTGACTTCCACAGGCAAGCAGTTGCATGTGCGCACACCCACAATCAATCAATGTAAAAGAAAGGCAGAATTTGACAATAAATGAAGAGACTGTAAAGAGATGTGGGCGAGTATGTCTCAGCCATTAGGCAATAAGAAGTAACTGAAATCATAAAGGTGGATGAAATCACATACCACAGGGATTGGCAGCTGTGTTTAAAAAAACAATAACAACAACAAAAACTCAGCCTTTGTAGCAAAAAAAAAAAAAATCCATAAGTAATGCATAAAAGATTGGGCAACTAAAGCCCGGTTGGTGCGCACGCCTTTAATCCCAGCCCTCAGGAGGCAAAGGCAGGCGGATCTCTGTGAGTTCGAGACCAGCCTGGTCTACAAGAACAAGAGCTAGTTCCAGGACAGCCTCCAAAGCCACAGAGAAACCCTGTCTTGGAAAAAAAAAAAAAAATGGACAACTAAACATTTATTAGCTGAAATCTTTCTGGGTCAGGACTTGACCTAGAAAAGGAACATGGAGCAAAAACTAGGAACACTAAGAATGCCAAAAACCTGAAGTGTCAGAGGAGGAGCCAGCAAATTAGGAAGAGAAGGGAGAAAACTAGAAAAGACTAGTGTCATGGATACCCTAGGAAAAAGGGGCTCTGAAGTGGAGGAAGCAGTCATGAGGGTCAGATGTCTGAGTGGTCAGATGAGAGAATGTATACCCATGGATTTAAGAACATAGTTCAGAAAATGAAACCATAACAACCAGATCTTTAGCAGGGGCATGTTATAATAGGGCCTGAGGGAGCTTGGGGGAAGGTACCACTATGTTAGAAGAGAATGAAGTTGGGACCTATGGCTCAGTGAGATCCAGGAACTAATGAGAGTGAGGATATCGGAACACAAGTTTGTGGTAGACTGATGGTGATATCCATTCACATGTGGAGATGATAGATAAGCTGGTCTAAAGAGTAATGCTCTAAAACTGTTTACAGTGGCACCAGTCTGTCCTCAGTGATCCGTCAGGTAAACATACAAAGAGAAACTCAAGAGCAGCAGGACCCCTTTGGAGGTTGAACAACGCTTTCACAGGGGTCACCAGAGGCCATCAGAAAACAGATGCTTACATTACAATTCATAACAGTAGCAAAATTACAGTTGTGAAGTAACAGTGAAAATAATTTTATGGTTGGGGGTCACCACAACATGAGGGTCTCGGCATTAGGAAAGTTGAGAACCACTGCTCTAGAGAATGAAGAGTGAGTGTAATGGGATGGGCTGGTAGTGGAAAATAACAGGCAAGAGAGACCTTCTTTGTAAAGGAAGACTTAACCCTGTTTGGTGATAAAAGAAAGAGCTGGGGCTTTGAGTTCTCTAGAAAATACTGGTTCTGTTGATGCTGAACTTGGGGCTAATATTAATATGTTGGCTTCATGTTTGTTGACTTTGAGGAGACCTTGAAAAGCATTTCAGAGTAGGAGTTGGAGATACCACTCAGTTGATAGAGCACTGTGCACAAAGCACTGATTTCAGTCCCCAGCACCACATCAACCAGGTGTGATGGTGCACACCGTAATCCTGGCACTTGGGTGATGGAGACATGAGGCTCAGGAGTTCTTGCTCATCTGTAGTTACAGAGGACTCTGACTCCAAAAACAAATAAATAAGGAAGGAAGGAAGGAAGGAAAGAAAAGGAAGGGAAACCGTTGTGGGCTGTGGAATCCCAGAATTATTTAACCTCCTGCCATTCTCTTTTTACCAGGAACTGTTGACAAACACTCAGTGGAAGTCACCAACTGCTTTTCAGTGCCACACAATGAGTCAGAAGATGAAGTGAGTTGGCTTCTCTCAAGGCCCCTCTGTACTGTGTCTGTAACAGCGCTGCAGGCAAAGCACTGCTTGCCCTGCCCACATCCTGGGCTTCTTCATCTGGTGGGGGTGGTCTTTCTTACGATTCAGTTTTAGTGTGTACTTCTAGCTTCTCAACTTCCTCTTCTGCATTCTCTCTTAGGTGGCTGTTGACATGGAATTTGCTAAGAATATGTATGAATTACACAAAAAAGTCTCCCCAAATGAGCTCATCCTAGGCTGGTAAGTTGAGGCGGGTGGATGGATAGAAAGTCTTCGTTGAGGGCCAGCCAGCCTCATTTGTCATCAGACTAGATCTTATTTCACCTTTCAGAGATAGAGTATTCAAAGCATGTGACCTTGAGCCTATTTTGATGGTAATTCTGATCATATTAAGTCAATAATATTTATTTTCAGGAATAGCTTTTGTTATTAGTTTGCTGACATTGTTAATTACTGCTGAGATAGTATCAGGGCCCCAGAGATACCCACACCACTGTTGTATTTGGGATTGGCATCAGGTGTTGAGAACCTATAACTGCTCTGCTTTCCAGGTATGCAACAGGCCATGACATCACAGAACATTCGGTGCTCATCCATGAATACTACAGCCGGGAAGCCCCAAACCCCATTCACCTCACTGTGGACACAGGTCTCCAGAATGGGCGCATGAGCATCAAGGCTTATGTCAGGTGAGTCCTGAGTGACCCGTTATGCCTGGATAACATCTCACGCCTACCCTACTCAGGTCTAATTCTATAGCTCAATGTCTCTTCAGGAACTTCATTCCTCTTTTAACAGCTGTCATTAGAGAAGTTTCTGAAGCAAAGTCTAACCCCATAATTGACACTCACTGGTCCTACTTAAACTGCAGTACTTGCTACTTAACGTCCATTCCATATGTGCCTTGGGTGCATGAACAAACTACCATGTTTTGTATGTGTCATCTTTCTGGGACAGTCCCCACATGGTTTGTTTGTCACAAGGACATGTGACCTTGCTCATTGCTTTTCTGAATTACGTTTAGTTTTTTATTGTCTTAGTTTGCTTTCTGTTGCTGTGATAAAACACTGACCAAAAACAACTCGGGAAGGAAAGGGCTTATTTCACCCTACTGGTGACAGTCTGTCATTGAGGGAAGTCAGGTCAGGCAGCTGAAGCAGAGCCAAAGTGATGCTGCCTACTTCCTTGTTCCCCCGGCTTGTGCACACTGCTTGCACAAGTGGTCCTATCACCCAGGACCACCACCTCCCACATCAATCATCCCTCAAGAAAATGCCCCACAGACTTCCCTACAGGCCAGCCTAGTGAAAACACTGAGCTGCTTCTTTCCATAGACCATAAAACCTAACCAGCACATTCAGTGTTACTAGAACTTAGCACAGTATTCATAAACCAAAGGATGCTGGCATTATTTGGAACACATCTTTTAAGTTGGAATTAAATAGACTTTTGGACGATAACATTGCAGTGTTGGCTCAGAACTTGCCTGCAGCTACAATGCCATTTGTCAGGGCTTGCTGGGGAGGGCTTTAGCAGTGGAGAAAGGAAGAGTTATTACTACAACTTGAGCCTATGGATAGGCACTGAGCCCAGCCTTCACCCCCTTCTCAGTCTCTACAAATTCAGCCTCCTCAAAATCCATATGAAAATCCAGAGTTGAAATAGTAAACAGCAATTTTAGTGAAGTTACTTCTAGCGCCCTATTGAGTGGTTTGGGGCATGAGTCAGTTTGGTCTTTTAGTGATAATGAGAGGCTCAGGCCCAGAAAAAGATTGCTCTGGTATATCTGTTTGCCCTGAAGATGGGTGTCTAGACAGCCAGGAACATCAGAGTCCTGTCCTCGTTACTGGCATTATGGTGTATGAAGCCATCCTACAAGGGGTCAGGCCAAAGAGAAGAAGGAAAATTTACTCTCAAGGTATTTTGGGAGCAGTCCTGGCCTTCTCACGTGGAAGGTATTACCATTGTGACTGCTTTTCTAACATAGGCTAGAAGTGGAAACTGCTCCCAGGGCATCTATTTACCTTTTCTCCTCCATCCCCAGCACTTTAATGGGTGTCCCTGGGAGGACGATGGGAGTGATGTTCACACCTCTCACAGTGAAGTATGCGTATTATGACACTGAACGCATTGGAGGTGAGTTTCCTTCCCCCACTCCACACACCTAGAGACCCCAGGCTTATTCAAGGGAGGGAGCCATTTCTCTTTGACAAAGATGAAGGGAGGGCTTGGGTAGCTTAAAGAACACTGGTCCAGCCGGGCGTTGGTGGTGCACGCCTTTAATCCCAGCACTCGGGAGACAGAGGCAGGTGGATTCCTGTGAGTTCGAGGCCAGCCTGGTCTCCAGAGTGCCAAGATAGGCTCCAAAGCTACACAGAGAAACCCTGTCTCAAAAAAAAAAACCACTGGTCCAAAGTTCATACTAACTGGAAGATGTGAGGGTTGTTCAGGGTAGGAAATTGTCAGTGTCACAGGCCCTGTAATCTCTATACAAGGCCAGAACCAGTAGTTACCAAACCAGGTGGAGAAACTGAGCTCTCCAAAGAAAGAAAAGTTAGTGTGTAGAGAGCAAGGATATTGGGAGCTGACTGCTTCCCAGGGGGGTTGGGGAGAGTTAGTAAGTGGTTAATGACCTCTTTCCTCTTGTTATGACCAAGTTTTCTCTGTTGTCTCTCACTGCCTGCCCCACATTCCCACAGTTGACCTCATCATGAAGACATGTTTTAGCCCCAACCGGGTGATTGGACTCTCCAGTGACCTACAGCAAGTGGGCGGAGCCTCTGCTCGAATCCAGGATGCTCTAAGCACTGTATTGCAGTATGCTGAGGATGTGCTGGTGAGAAATGGGGAGGAACAGCAAGGGAGGGCTGGCATCCCTGTGGAGCCTGCTGGTGACTTGACAGTACCTAACAATGGACCTTCTCAGTCTGGAAAGGTGTCTGCTGACAACACTGTAGGCCGCTTCTTGATGAGCCTGGTTAATCAAGTACCCAAGATAGTTCCTGATGACTTTGAAACTATGCTCAACAGCAACATCAATGTGAGTGCCATGGCTGGACCCTGGGAGTTGGGTAGATGGAAGGCCACTACACAGTCCAGGGTGGAGGCAGTACAGTATGTTTAGGGGGTCTCCTCCCCTAAGTGCTTGTTTGAAGTACTACTGCTATTACTGTGACTTCTTAACTAGACTCAGGTAGGAGACTTGCTAAAATTCAAGGTAACAAAGACAATTTCTAATTTTACACATCTGTGTTCGCAGAGCACACACCCCCATACTCCACAAGTCTCCACTAAATTCCCCTATTCTATAAGCATCAGTAGGGTGGATAGTGTTCATGCACGGTCCCTGCCTGACTTCCCCCCTTCAACCCCTGCTCAGTCTGCTCCACTGACATTCAGGACTCAGCACAGGCCTTTCTGTCCCCATTGCATTCATTGTTTTCCTTTTCTTTCAGGACCTGCTGATGGTGACCTACCTGGCCAATCTCACCCAGTCACAGATTGCCCTCAATGAGAAACTTGTGAACCTGTGAATGAGCCCTAAGAGGCACTTGTGCTGGTCTTGGTTTTCACCATAGGACTCAGACTGAAGTGGAGGCAAAGGGTTTCTTTGTGGTCTTGAATCACGATCACTTGGTCAACTGCTTGGGACTCCTAATAAACATAGCCTTCCTTTTATAAGTGAACTTTATGTGATGTCATGTTATTGTTGCCTGGGAGAGAAAAGTGTTCTTGAGCTCATACAGAAGCCAAGGAGTGAGCATCCTAGGGAGAAGCTGGTTATGCATTGGCATGAGTCATCAGCAGTAGGAGCACCCACAGCCCAGGCTATGTTAGCTTCACCCAGCACCACACCAGACAGCCTTCTGGGCACAGTGGCTTTACATTTTTCTGACTCTTAGGATCATAGCAAGTGGAATCTCCAGAATTGTTTGTAGATTTTTGGTTGGGGGGGCGGCAGGTGTTATTTCTCAGTTTTTTTCCTCCATAGCATCTTACCTGGATGGTAGTCCAGGGGTTGACTTGTGTACAGTATGGAAGGATTTGGAGATGGGCACACACCGCAGACCTGGGACCCAGGAGTTCGTCTCCATGGTGAGGAATATCTGCTTTACCAAACTATTCAGTCTGGAAAGGTGGCCTCATACAGACACAGGTGCATGGTATGCATGTGCCTCTAAACCAAAAAGCCAAAGAATGATGAGCTTAAAAAAAAAAAAAAATCACAGTAGTGGGCAGTCACCTTAGAGGTAGAGAGAAGCCGGCAAGTAGAAGCAAGTGCAGGTTAGTGACTGGTCTAGTGTGACAGTTGGCAGCAGGTCAATGGGTCTAAATAGAGCCAAGTATGAATCAATGATGTTAGTGTATTTTTCACTGTCACCTAGATAGTTCTATACTTACTAGACATTGTATTTAAATGAGAGAAAATACATTGAAAATGATGTGTAAAAGGGGTTTTGTTGTTGTTTTTTAATGTTGTCTAATTGATATGATAGAAAAAGAACTAAAATGCTAACAAGTCTGGTGTTGTAGCTCCGTAGAATGCCTAGGATACATGAAACTGGAAGATGAGGATTTGATCCCCAGCACCCATAAAGTTGGGTGTAATCTCATACCTATAATCCCAACCAGGGAAGAAGGGAGCAGGAGAATCAGAGATTGAAGTGTATCCTCAGCTGTGTATGAGTGTGACACCCGCCTGGACTGCATCAGATCCTGTTCAAAAATCTATGACAACAAATAGGATGCTAATGAGAAACATAGGAGGCAGTTACATAAAGACAACATATTCTCAGATAAAAATGTAAGTTTTCCCTGAGGTAAATTACATATTTGTCACATTTCCAGTAAAACACAAAGATAATTTGATCTAGACAAGCTATTTCTAAATATTTAAATGGAAAATGTCTTCCAAAACAATTTCTTCAGAGAATACCAATCCTGTCTCAGAACTGTGTGACCAGGCAGAATGTACTGACTCCAAAACACAAACCAGACATTCCAGTAGAGTTCTTAATGGTCCATGAGGGAGAACTTCTTAAGCACTGAGAATCCAGAAGCTATTCTTTTTCAAAATTGACATCCTATAACCCCTTAAAAGTTTTGACTGGTAAGATACATATACAAATAGTGCGAGTGTGAAGCTGGAGAAATATTTGAAATTCCTATCAAAGACCTAATATTCTTGTCACATAATTCTCAGAACCAGTTTTTTGTTTTGTTTTCAGTTTTTGAGATGGTGACTCACTATTTGCTTTGGCTGTCCTGGAACTCATTGTGTAGACCAGGATGGTCTCAAACTCACAAAGACCCACCTGCCTTCATTTCCCAAGTACTAGGATCAAAGGTATGCACCATCACACCCGGCCCCATCAGCTTTTTAAAGGCCAGTTATCTACTGGGTATCAAGATACGAACAGCTCACCCTCCTACATACACACGCACATGCACATGCACAAAAGTTGTTTGATCTTATAAAAATGTACACTGCCATGTTATCACATTTTCTGTTCTGTGAATGGCTAACAGTGATGGTCAGAGAAAGAAAGGAAAGCATGACACAGACATGCATCTCTGGCAGGGATAGCCTGTGTTGGCAGCATTTTGAATTTGTATTTATCACATTAACCTGGGAATTCATGTATCAGTGTATGTATGTACTCAAATACAGATAGACTGGTTTGATTTTGACAATATAGTACATAAATATATCTGGCTCTATTAGCATAAAGATTTCCATCAACCCAAATGGGTAATTTAATGAGTAATTAGCAGATGAGTAATGCATTACTGCACAGTTGAGAATGAAAGTCTAAAAGAGAATGAAAAAGTAGTATCTGTAGTTGATTGTCATAGTATGCGTTAAAGTAAACGATAGTAATGCCTAGAATATCGAAAGTATATGCAGGTGCTGCTCTCAGTGGCTGTCTTGTATTGGACAGGGCACTCTCAATAATGTAAGCTCTGGCCCCCAGTGTTATCTCCCAGGAGGGAAAGCAGTTGCTATGGTAGTGTCCAGGCTATGAATTAGACCTTTTTGTTCCTTGATTAGTGTGATTCATCTTGATCCCTGTGTCTCAAAATGATCTTTTCTGTCTTGTTGGCATCTGCTAGCTCTGCACTTATGTTCTGTCCCCTGCTAGTGGTTGTCAGCTCTATGTGGTCTCTCCATCCTGACATTCATTAGTCCTGCCTATGACAGGCTACCAGTTGCATTGTTTTAATGGGCTTTCATAGTCGTGACCACTAGAGGGCATGTGTACATAATTCAGAAGCTACTTAGTGTTCTCAGTGCCTAAACAGTTTTCTAATGTTGCTCAGGAAAAGTGCCTTATGTTTTAGAGATGCCAAAACTGCAAAATAAGTGGACAAGGCTTCAGGAGGAAGTTCTTTAGCCACCTGGGAGCCACAGAATGATGATACCAAAGTATGTTCTTCTATCCTCACCCCAAAAATACTCAAGTAGACATGTAATCTACTTCAAAACTTGAATAGGAAACAATGTAAATCTCCTAGGGTCCACTCTCTTCCAACCAGAGGACAATGCATATTACTATATAGAGATCATAAGGCTGATGTGCCCAGGAGCAGCTCCAGCCTAGCCTTGACTACTCCAGTGAGAAATGTCTGGGCAAAGAGAAGTGCAGAGCTAGTATATGACTTGGGGTTTTTATTAAGGAACCTGAAACTTCTTTCTGTATGGCACTAGAGTTTGGAATAGTAAATAATGAGGCTTTTGTCACATTCTGGAGATTGGAGGTATGGGGTAGGGCTGTATTTAGAGATCTTGGTAAAATTGCTTTATTTAGAATCTAAGGGATAGATTGAGGTTAGATTTAGCTGAAAATATAAGCCATCAATTTGGATATAAAAGTTTATCTAGATGGGGAACATACTTTGGGACCACTAAAAGCACATGCAACAGAGACTTGAGCAAAGTTGTATATTTTCAAAGAGATGTGGGATTGCCAGGGTTGCCACAACAAGCTTGCATCTACAAAATGGTCATTGAGTGTATTTTTCACAGTAGATACTTTCTGTGGCCACTGACATGAGAAACAAAGACCTATAGCATCTGGTACCACTCACATTAGTCCACCCACATCCCTTTTCCCCAGACTTTTGTATCTTAGTCTTGCTGTATGCAGGCCTCTCATCAGCCAGTGAAGTCATTCTCCACTGCCCAGTGGAACATGTGGATTCTTAGCTCAGATCATCTCCCTACTTGTAAAGTTGATGGCCAATTGTACTAACCTCCACCAGGGGTATCCCTCTCCACTCACCTAACAACTTAGTATAGAACCAATTGCAGTTCATAGTATGGTGTAGCTGGAGTTTGGTTTTGGTTCATACAACTATATCAAGACAAACCACCAATATACCACAGTCAGATTTTTTTTCTTCCTATAGCAATTGTGGGAACACACACACACACACACACACACACACACACACACACACAAAATTGACAATCTGAGGGGAAGAAGCAGGATATATGCCATGGAGTCTCAATTGCCTGTTCATATAGTTTACCTATGACCTTCGTCATCATGCAGTGAATTAGTGGTCTATGGCTGATGAGCTGGTAAACATACATCACCAAGTTTATGTCTGGAGTTAATATTTGAGTGATACCCCCAAATTATAGCAGGCAGTGTTAGGGTCTTGATAACTCAGTGTCATGCTCTCATGGGCCCAATGACTCAAACATGAATTGTTTCCAAGTATGAATACTCTCTACTACAGAAGGTAAGGCCTGCCCTCCAAAACTAAGGTCCACACAGCTTTCCAGAGATTCCATGCTGTTCTTTTCTGATATTGATCCCTTAGGCACTATTAGACTGCTAACTTGGACTTGGGGAAGCTGGCACCTTAGCTGGAAGATAATTTTCTTCCTTGAGTCTACATTTAGAAGTCAAATAGAGGGCTGGGGATGTTGCTCAGTGGTAGAGAGCATGTTCCTCAGTTGCACAAAGTCTTGGGTTCAGACCACCCCCCAAAAAATGTTAAATAAGTTGTAGTTTCTCTAGGATCATATGCCAAATTTATTCCAACCTCTAGCCTTCTCAGAATACACTTTCCCTAAAATCTTCATATATTGTCTAGTCTGCCTCCTATTTAATGAAGTCTAGTCCTTCACCAATACATCCAAGGACTTAACAGAAAGTGACATTCTCCTGAACTCCTTTGTCATTGTGGTCTTGGTCTTGCTCCTAACTTAATTCTCAGCCTCTAAAAGCTTGGTAGGTTGCCACCCTGCCCACTGCACCTTGTCTCAACAGCCAGAGTTCTACCTCCCAAACTGCCCACAGCACCATTCATAGAAGACAATGTCTAACAGGGCAGCAACAAGGAGAAAAGTGGGTCAATGGCTGGGCTCATCTGGGACTATAAAGTGATGCATGATAGTCGTTGTCCTTGTAGTTTTAGGCTTCCTCCCATCATAGAGGTCTCAGTGGTTGGGCTTCTAACATGGTGGCTCAGGGCTCCAGTGTATAAACAAACACTAGGAATACCCAAGGGCCTTTCATTCTTTGACCTTAAGAGTAACATAGTTTGCAGGTTCAAGGGGAGTTCACATGGATCTTCCTTCTCAATAAGGGAAATAGCCAAGTATTTGCAACTGTGCTTCAAAATTACCACATTCCCTTCCTGGGGATTGCTGACACTGATAAAGGTCAAAGAT